CTTTGATCCTTAACGTTAAAGCGGCAATCTGTTTGTTGGTGGATGCGTTGGTCATGCTAGTATAAGGGCTATTCGGTTTACCTGAAGCGGCTGAATCTTGTCTAATGCAGGAAGCCCGACAATGTCGAATTTTTCAACCATATTAGCAGTGCTACCAACATAGCTATTCCAGGGCTTTGGTATTATCTGGCTGAGAACGTGCAGAGAAAATGTTGCGCTTTCGTGTCGAACGAGACGTACTCAGTTCAGGCACTGATGAGCCGCAATGTACGGCAGCCAAAACCTGGTCAGCATCTGACCTTGACACAGGCTGCTTCGACGCCTTCAATTCCACTATCCTACTGCAAATTAACACACTTTACTCGTCTTTAGAGTCTGATTGTCCTGACCACTTGGAGTATATGTGAGACTCGGTTTTTATCGGTGAGAATACGTCACCGAAGCTTCTGGTCGTCTGCTGCGAATGACGTTCGTCTGTCTTAGTAGCTGGTACTTTGAGGGGCTTCTCTAGGAGCATGCACAGCATTACCGGTAATAGCTTTGGGAGACTTGCAAACCACAGCTCCCTTTTCCCTTCTTCGCACAATAATAAGGGACCAGCGATGCGCTGACTGTCGTGATAAAATATGGACGGCTTGCCATCTACACGCTTGAAATCAATGAGCTGTTCAAATCATGCTTCGGTGCTGGGCTGTAACTCCTTTAAATTTGCTTGCTTCATCCTTTCATAATCTTCCTCATTTGATAAGTAGAGTAGCATATCCTGAACCAGCGACAAAACCGATGAAGGAATAGGTTGGACGATTTGAGTGCACTTCCTACGGTCCCTCTGAATGGTCGCCTTTTCCAAAGCGATCACGAAGATGGCAAAACAAAGCTTGGGCTGTGTTCCATTAAACCTGAAACAGCCAAAGTAAACATGTTTACGCTGTGAAATGAATCAGGTGCCACTTTCGAGTTGTGATTCGAAAAGCTAAATGCTGAACAAAAACAACAATTAAATTACTAAAATTAAGCACGAAACTAACAAATACACGTAACTTATCAAGAAAAAGGAACGAACTCACAAAACATACAAATGGGGAAAAACTTTAAATTCACGCATGCGTATCGGTGTTCACCACTCTGTAGGATTAGTAAATACTAGTCTGTGACGGTGCATGTAATTAAGCACGGATACCAGAAGGCAATTGAAGTCTGACACCGCGGACTCTGTTCTATTGATTGCAAACAATTGTGGACGCATGAAGCGAGCAAGGAGCAACACGTGCGCGCGGCAACTTAGAGTGCCGTCTGTCTCGACCCGGATATAGGTTAACATGCAAAGAATGTAAGGGAGATTAAAAGAAAAATGTATAATGTACGATTTATCATCAATAAAATTACAGAGGAGCAGTAGAGGAGTTGAAACATACAGGTAGATGTTCGTTAGATTTAGGCTCACTCAGACAGCCATCACACGCGCGGAAAAGCACCTTACATGCGTTACATAATTTCAGGAATCGTCAGCAGCCCGCATTCTATCGGACCCTGGTTGGGCTTGAATCCGCAATTCGACTGTTGCCAGTCCGTGCTTGAGACCACTGAGTTACGGGCAAGGGCAACGACCACGGTGAATACGTCACTAGATGTGGTTTAGCGCGACTCAGGATCCATTGATACTCACGTTGCTGCCATGCAGAAGACAGGGTAGCCCCCACAACAATGACGAGCTTAACAAACTTGAGCCGCTCATTAATATGGCATTATAAGCAGTTGGGTCTGTGTATTGCTTAGAGAGGAGTAGTAGGGGAAGTTGGAATGCGTACTGCTGACAATTCCCGAAAGGATGAAAGGCGCGTACATTGCATTTCTGGACTGTGGTGGCTGTCTGAGTGAGTCTAGACGTAACGAATTAATGGACGTTTACACCCCGATCAAGATCATTTTAGTCACCACAGATGACCCCGATCCAAATCATTCCACACAACATTTAGAGATCTTAATTGGCATTATGTTCCCTTTCTTTGACGTGTTTGTTTCGATTTTTCCTGGTCTAGTTGTGGCAACTTTCTTCCACTTTCACTAAGGGATTTTGGTTTGATGAACCATGGACACAGTTTTTAAAAATAGTGAGTAGGAGCAGAGTGTTCATTCAGACGCTCAATATTTCCTCCGTTTACAGAGCTAGACATAGCTTTACGGCTTCTGATCTTAAAAGCGGCATTTGCTAATAAACTTGGCATACGCAACTTAGATAAGTTCAACAACTTGCTATCTTCTTTGTCCATAGATCTCGCTGTCCAGCTCGGCGACCTGCTTGTGACAGCTGGTCCAAATAATAGTTATAACGCTCTTATAGATACCGCAAAACAACGACGCACACGATCCGAAAGATCTCGTCTGCATCAACTCTTTTCCGGTTTGCACTTAGGAACCAGGAAATCCACGATACTTTTACCATAGATGCATCGGCTCCTACGTGGCTTAAATATGAACAAATCCTTGCGTTATGGATTATGGTTACAACGTTTATCTAAGCACGTGCTGGCCGTCTTTTGCCTTGCAAAAGCTAAACCGTAGTCAGAAATGTTCGAAAGCGCAGACAGTGTAATCGGGGTTTTAATGAACCACTGCGCGTTTCGTCTGGCATGGTCCGATCAGCTGACCGTCTCACCTGGTACAGACCGTCAATATATTAAACTACATAGTAAGCAACCTGCTTTCAACACACGCACTTGTGGATGAAATAACCTCACTCACATGAGAAGACTAACGTTTAAGCCTAAACTTACAACAACGTCGTGACACACTCCGTTCGCGTAGTCACGCTCTAGCATCACACGACGCTCTATATGCCGTCACCATGCGCACTTCGGTATGGTTGCTTGAAATTTCAGTATACCTTGCATTTTTATATTGACAAAGAAAAGCCAGCTGAAAAATGCCTTGAAAGACGTCATCAGTTTCACCGTCAGATAAGTAGAACTAGCTAATCTACAAACACTGGCGACTGATGTCCGTACACAAAATACCGCGGGTCGTCTATGCAAGGTAGCCGATCGAATCGCAGAGATCATGTTCCTATTCGACACCGAAGTGAATGTCTGTGTGATCCTACCAAGCCCAATAGAAATGAATAAGCGGCGGACGGTAAATCTAAGTGCTGAAAACGGAGCACCAATAGCAATGTTTGGCTAGGGTGTTCTCACCATCGACCTTGACCGTCAGAGCAAATGCTGTTGAATGTTTACACTAGCTGCTTTACCGTTAGCTATTGTAGGAATCGAGTTATTGCAAAAGTTCAAGCTACTGGTCTATACTTCTCAGCGAAAGCTAATTGAAAAACAAACATCTCTTTCCTTCTGTGAAATTGCAACTTACAACACTACGTTTCCTCGCATTTATCCCCAGCTACACGCTAACAAAGCCTTTCTAGAATAGTTCGCACAGTTCCCACAGCTGTTAAAGCCTTCTAAATCTTTTCTGTCGAAACTGTGACGCACTACATATAAACCCTTGGTCTTACAGCTTCAGCTTGACCACGACCTCTTGCCCTGATAATTTGATGATGACCAAAGCGGAATTCGGGTATCTGCTCGAACTTGGTATTATCCGCCCATCCGAAAGTCAGTGGGCTTCAGCTCTTTACGGGGTGACAAACAAGACTAGCGACTGGTGATCGTGTGGGAGTATTGGGCAATAAACAAGTGCACCTCTCCTGACAAGTACTCCAAACCACACATTCAGGATTTTACTAGCAGATTAAGCAGTAGACCGTGTTGAATAAAGCCGACGTAAAATGAGCATATTAACAGATTTCCGTCGAAAAAGATGACATCCCTAAGACTGCCGTCAGTACACCTTTAGGGCTACTGAGTTTCCGCGCATGACTTTTAGCCTGAGAAACGCCGCACAAACCTTCCAAAGGTTAGTAGATGACGTTGAACGTGGCTCATATTTCGTTTGTCTTTAGTTGGACGATATTTTAATAGCAAACAAATTCAAAACAAAGCATCTCGAGCACATGCAACTACTGGTTCGATGCATATGCGACTGTAAAACTACCGTTAACGCCGTTAAGGGCGAGGTAGGCAAACTGTCAGATGAATATATGGGTCATCAGATCCCTTCATCCGATATCAAAACCCTACGCGAAATGATCGCTTCCGTTAAAGTTGGTCCTGAACCTACCCTTTTCAAACAACTCAGACACTTTCTCTTCGTAGCAAACTACCATTACCGTTTCCACCCTAACTGTGCGAATATAATGGAGACTTTGACTGACTTACTTCGTGGCAGTCAGCGTCCTTTCTTTTTCAACGAGGTTGCTCCATCCTCTTCCACGGAATTTAAGAAAGCATTTGCAAACCCTGCTCTTTTGACGCAGCATCCACCAGATGGTCCCCTTTCTGTGGTAACAGAAGCTCCGAGTAAAGCGGTCGGCGCAGTGTTTCAGCGATTCTTCAACGGGTAATGGCAACCACCAAATAACTCAGTAAATAAAAGACCGAAGGTAACCAATTGTTTCAATGAATTCAACTTCAGACATTTAAAATCATATGGGTTAAGAGCAACGGGAGTAAGAGTGGTTTCGATCAGTTCAAATGTAATTGGATCACTTGCCAACCGAAGGCATAAACCAGCAATAAACGTAAACGCTGAATTCGAAAATACAATATTTATTTACTTTATAATCATATGGGTAAAGAGCAACGGGAGTAACAGGGGTTTCGATCAGTTCAAATGTAATTGGATCACTTGCCAACCGGGGGAATAAACCAGCAATAAACGTAAACGATAAGCACAAACTGGGGCAAAGATGTAATCAAACGATTGCACCTGGCTTCCGAATCGTCCATCTTTTCTGGCCAGGATAACTTAAGAATTTCGATCAGTTTCTTTTGTGAACACAAAAGCGATGGATGCAACCGAATACTGAGCGTCTCAGCTGTAGCGATGGTGTGGAGGCGCAGGCCTTTCGATTGGAGTGGCGGAACATTGTAGTTTATTCGAAATAAATAAATAACTAAATGTTATATTCCTCGGTGTTTCGAGGTGCAGTCCAACTATGTGGTCTGATCAATGTGTACAACAAGATCGCAAAAAAATAATCAATTTGTTCACGCTTTTTACAATGGATCCAAAAACAGGTACTAAACTAATTGGCAGGATTAAGGCATTAAAGAAAATAAAAAGCAGGAACAATAACGTAAGCAAATTTAAACAGATGTCCAGTTAAAGTAATACGGCCACTCGTGGAACCATCCCCAGGGGACCTGCTTCCATGCAAGGTATTCCCTCGAAAGGTTTCGCTCGCACTTCCATGCAATAACTGGCCGTGTGCCGGTGTGGCATAGTAGCATATGAGCCATCACCTGTATATCATATGTTTTGTTCATTTTAGAGCTGTTTTTGAACATGTATTATGGGCCATGAAGGCTCAGCCCAGTCCGTCATGCGGATCATTCTATTATGGCACTTTTTTATACGCCAGACAGTTGGTGGCAATTTGCCTTGCATAGGTAACGTCTTTTATAATCTGGAAGCTGTAATCCGTCACCACAGGAGATCAGCCCAGTCGTGGCCAACTATGAAATAAGGAAGAATATAGAAAAGAAGAATTCTGTGAAAGAGGTACTATATCGTTAATGTAAGAAATAGGCAGGTATGTTTTGTACATCGGCGTAGAAATCGATCGAGCCGATCATACGATAAATTGTGTAGCGTGACACCCGGAGACAGATGACTGTACAAGTTGTCCATAGGCAAAAGTCGCGTAGGGAATCAGTTATTGCCATCCTTGAATTCAAGTATATGTTTCTGGACTGTTAGTTTCAGAAAAGAGGGGGAAATGATTAGCACTGGAGAACAAATGTAGCGAAAGGGATCGCAGAACAATATTACGAATTAATCAATTTGTGGGGAAAATTACGAAAATAGCTCCTGACGTCACACCAGTAAATAATTTTGCTCTCGGTTTTAAACAGAAGACAGCTGATATGAATTAAGTTTAAAGGGAGTAAAACCGCATGGAATGTAGCGTTAAGGAATAGCATAAGAAGCGGTTTGTATCAGCTCATCCTAGCTGATCAAGTTTTCTCTGGTGCAGTAGAGTTGATGTTCTCCGGTATCATACATGATCCGGCCCTTCTTCATACAGTTTTTCATCATCAAATTGAATGTTTAAGATCCATTTCGCTCTGTCCGTTGACAGATAAGCCTTTATCATTTTCTTGAACATGCAGAAATGTTCAATACATCTAATCTCTTTTGGCAGCTTATTCCAAATGGAGCCATACCTAAGAAGATAGAAATTTCTCCTTAGACTGCTCTTGAATTTAGGTAAATAGAATATGCATTCTTTATCTCGCAGTTCATAAGTGGTGTTTTCCCGAAAGTGCAATTGATAGGTTCCAATATATGCTTTCCGCCACGCGAGTTTGTGGAGGAAGCACAGATTTAGTTGCATTCTTCGTAACCACAGAGGTTCAAGATTCAATTGCTTGCACCTATCTCGGTATGAAAGAGCGGTTGAACAGCCAAATATGCGCTTCGTAAAGGCGCGTTGGACGTTTTCAATGGCTCTCAAGTCAGCCTTTCGCAAGTTACTGAACACAGCACAACAATATTCAAGCAAAGGCCAGATACTGATTTTGAAAGCAATTAGTCTGGTTTCTTTCAAGGTTAGCAGGTGGCATATGAGCCCGACCGACTGCTTAGCCTTTTTCACTATATGATTTGTATGTTCGCTAAAGTTTAACGAACTAGAATATCTTAAACCTAAGTCACGAACAGACTGGCTGATGGGAATGACTTCATCATGAAGCCTGAACACTTCTGCTGCTATCTGACATCCATACGATAGAATACTACACTTCGATGTTGCAAATGTCATCTGCCACATATCAGCCCATCTCTCAATGGCTTCCAAGTCGCTTTGGATATTGTTAACTTCAGCGGTACGCTGAGAACCTGGGAACGTGTAGACCACCTTTAAATCATCAGCAAATAAATAAGGCTTCCCAAATTGTATGACAGAAACCAGGTCATTTATATACAGTAGGAAGAGCAACGGGCCTAAGACACTGCCCTGCACCACTCCACTGGTAACCGGACGAGGTGAAGAGATGTAACCATTGATATCCACAACTTGCGACCGTCCTACAAGGTAAGATTGGATCCAAGAGTAAAGCGGGTTTGTAACACCGTACTTACTTAATTTACATAACAGCTTTTTGTGTGGGACTCTGTCAAAAGCCTTTTGCATGTCGAGGAAGATAACAATGCACTGAAGACCTGAGTCAATTGCTTCAGTTAGATGGTTAAGGAAGTCAACTTGACAGGTAACACACGAGCGAGATTTCAGAAAGCCATGCTGTGAAGGTGAGAGAAGTTTGTGCGATATTAGGAACGAAACCAAATGTTCCTTAACAATTCTCTCTAGCATGCGTGAGAGAATGGCTGTGTGACTAATGGGGCGGTAGTTCCGGATGTCAGTTTTCGACCCGGACTTATGTCTCGGTATGACCGTAGCCGTTTTCCAACGTTCGGGGTATTGACCAGACTGGAGAGACAAAGAGAAGATATTTAATACTATAAGAGGGATATCATCTCCACCGTGTTTGATTAAAGCAGAAGAGATCCCATCGGGGCCAGGTCTGTAGGATGGTCGTAGACAAGTAAGCATACGTTTTATCGTAGCAACACTAAGCTCGATCGCTGGGACTTGTTCAGAGAAGTGAAATGAGGTTGACAAATCCAGGGTTTCTTTTTCAACATTAAAGGATCTAGCAAAGTATGAGTTAAAGGCTTCCGCCATGGCGATTGGGGAATCAATGCAATCACCTTCAGGCATGACGATGTGGGAGGGTAGGTCAGTTTTGCCACCTCTCCTTTTCCTCAGTAATGCAGTCACCAGTTGACTTGTATTACTACTATTTACAGCCCGTCGTTCTTCCTGCATGAGACGAGTTCGATGTTTCATGTCCATCTCAATTATAAGGCGTTGGAGTCTCAATAATACACTAAAGTCATGAGTACGTTCAAATGTTCGAGTTAGCACTCGAATTTTCCGCTTGTCCTTTGCATTATTAGCGTATTTAGAAGAGACTCTCGTGTTATCACAGGAGGCAAGTATGCTTAAGCACATAGCCACATTGTCATAGAAGATATCGGAGGCTCCCTTAATATCAGACGAAAGAAAGAAATGGTCCCAATTTTGGACCCTAAGCAAAGCTGAGAAATCTACCCAATTAATATTTCGCAGGAAGTGTGGAACCATCGCAAACCTCACATGCGACGACTCAGCTATAAGTTTAAATCTGACTATTTTGTGATCACATCCAGGGAGACCGTCAATTACATCAGTAGCTATCTGGGAGGTGCCTGAGGTAAAAAGTAGGTCTAATATATTTTTCCCCCTGGTAGCCACGAGAACATGTTGCTCCCAACCCCCAGTGATGACGGAGGTTATGAACTCTGCATGTTTCGCGTTTGTTACTAAGTTTGACCAACAGATATCTGGTAGGTTGAAATCTCCACCTACAACTTTATCGAAGGAACCAAGGTCCGATATGTAATTGAAGATGTCAACCAACTGGTTCTCATCACTGAGGCTGGTCCCGGGTGAGCGGTATATACAGCCTACAAGAATTCGCTTAGTACCAAAGGACAAGAGTAACCAAGCGGAATCAATAGTGGGGCATATAAGTGGAAGTGTGAATTCAGACACAGTGAGGTTCTGTGAGTAGTAAATTATGCAACCACCTCCTCTGCCTTGTTTTCGATCACTTCTAATAAGCTTATAACCTTCGATAGAAAGCAGCTGGCTGGGCATAGAATCATGACACCAGGTTTCAGTGAGTAAAATCATATCTGGTTTATTCAGACTTATGAAGGTGCGGAGTAAATGAAGTTTATTCAACAGAGAACGGATATTAATTATCACCAGTTTTAAAAACTCCTGGCGTTGTTTATCACTCCGTCCAGTATTTATTCTTGCAATCACATTAGTTCTAAAGCCTTCCGCAGCAAATCCCTTACCGTGAGATTCGCCAGTCCTATCGGGATTAGGGGGGGTGGGGGAATGGGTGGGGGAATGCAAAAAGAATGCTGTGGTAAGTCGGGGCGATTGAGCTTAATTGGATAGGGTGTCATTGCCGAAGGGCTCACAGAAGGCATTGTGAGAGGAGGAGGCGGAATAGAGTATGGATAGGGGCATAAATAAGTGGTCTGTGATTCAGCAAAGCCATGTACAGGCCTGCCAGGAGAACAGCCTTGGCTCATCGCAGGAACAATGGGGAATTTTGGCTTGCCACTCTGTGCAGCTGCATTATAATTCACGACTGTCATTGGGACACGGGGAGTCACCTCTCCAGCACGAAGGCCCCTGTTTGATCTAAGACGCTTAGGACGCGAACCATGACCACTGCTGCTATGTGTAGTCATAATGTCAATGGGCCGTAACGTACCTTCACTGGAGCTATCGACAGTCCCATTTGATGTTTTTGGACTTGTATCTGTTTCAATAGTGGTGTGGGGATTTATCCCAATCCCTACTGGTTTGTCAGAACGTGGTGCATCAAGTGAAGCTACACTATTTCCTATGTCCACAAGACTAATGTGGTGTGGAGGCGTGAGCATCTCAATTTCCGCTACGTTGTCGCCAGTCTTAGCATCGTTCGTGTGGAGAGTGGCCTTGCTAACATTAGCTGCCTTTTTAGAAGGGGAGAACCAAACACTGTTGAATGATCTCCTTCTTTGCAATCCAGGAAGCGCGCAGGGAGGATGACTCTGCTTCGGCTCAGGCGAGACATTAGTTGCACTCATGCGTTGAAGCTCACGTTGCAAAGGTGACCTGTCTACAAATAGAATAACTTTGCAAAATTTCGGGACAGATCTTAAAGTATTTTGACTTTTGATAAACGAATTTGCGAGACTTTCATTACGGAAGCTAAACAGAGTCGGACAAGGAAAACGCAAAGATTTTTTCCTCAGTCTTCTACAACTAATATCGGTTTCAGCGATGTTGCACGCTCTCGAAACAGAGCGTCTAATGGTGTCAATTGCGATATTGTCAGCTATGTTGAGGGCGATGACGTTTTTTCCCCTTCTGCATCTTTGATTAACCTCAGAGGCGATTGCATTTAGGAAGTTTAAGGCTCCAATTTTGTGCTTTTGCTCTGGATTAGCCGGAGACTGAATTATGTATGAAACTGACATTAGGAGATCTCCGAATGAGTCAAACAACTTTAGTTTCTCATTTTGTTCCTCTAACTGTTTTTCCAACGTCTTTATTTTGGCTGACAGTGAAGATATAAGGTCGACAACACTAACTGAACTTTCTGTGATTTGTTCTTTGGACTTATTTACCTGCTCTTGTATCCCAGCCTCGGAATGTGTGCAACAGGGCACAGGTTCCTCGACACTCGTGACGGCAGCATTATTTACCGTGATTATTCGGTTTTCCACACGCTTTTTCCTCATTGCACGAGTGTTAATGGCAGTCATCAATCTTGTAAATGAGAAGATCAAAGCTATCTATAGTATATGCTATAACCAAGCGTGAATTCTGGAGTAACAAAGGTCGCTAAGGTCCAGTGATTTACCTATTCAAGTCAACAGACAGGCCACTGTTTCAGATACAACCAATGATACAAACCAACCGGATGTAAGAGTGCTCAGTTGTCCAAATTCCGCCAAGGGTAGATTGTCCTGCAGTGATCGACCGCTCCGTGCACAGGTATCCCTGAGGTCAACTCCGTGTGTCACGTTATGCCGCAAGTTCCAACAGGCGCACACGTACAAATCCGGCCAAACAAAGAGATTTGTGTGCGTTCGATAGAACGCGATTCACAATGCAGCGTGAGAGCTCTTGGTCAACCAAGGTAGTGTACGAAGATGGAATTGCTTCTAGTCGCCTTATCCAGCTACCGACAGGGTTGGTTTAGGTCTCCTGAAGTAGAGCTAGCAATAAGCTTTCCGTTAATTCCAAAAACCTTGATGAAGGTAGAAAAGTGGTGCACTCGTAGGCGAACGACAAGGCTGAAACACAGCCCGAATTGAAAACCGGCGTTAGACGTTGATCCGTTAATAGTAGCCTCGAGAGCGTTCGCGAAATGGGTAGACCTGATCGAGCCCGATTGAATGAGTGTACCCAGGCCGATGTGCGAAAAGATTTGAATCCGAAAACTTGAAAAGTCAGGAGCAACGAAAATTTCCCGACCGGCTGATAGCGGACTTGATCGAGTTCATGTCCACTAACAACTAGATGAGCCATAACAGAGCTAGTTATAGCCCCGGTACCGCCTCGATGCAACCAGCGTGGAAGGTACTCATTAATGCGCTTTGACAAATGCCGTGCCGTTCGACCGACGTAAGTAGCGCCACAGGTGCACTCGAACTGATAAATGACCATAGAAGCGGTCAGCATCGGCAACTTGTCTTTGTAGCAAATGCGAATGAGGGATTCCGTTGAGCAAGTGCACTTCAGCTTAGCAGCTGGAAAAGTTGACTTAACGGCTATATAAATGCTTCTGGCAACACGTTCGGCGGCTGCGTCTCCTTTGAAAGGTAATCTTATAAATAGTTCTTTCTTCTCAGCTGTTAGCACCTGCACTGCGTCGGGTTTATCTTGCATGTTCTTAAGAATGCATCGATCATGATACCCGTTTTCGCGCAGCATATTTTGAATGAACTCCAACTCAGTATCCAACGTGTCTTCAGAACAAATCCTGCGAGCCCCTGTGGTTAAAGAGCGAATTAGGTTTCGGTTGTATCTCATAGGAACGAAACTATGGGACTTCATATACTGGCCACTCCAGGTTTGCTTCCTGTAGAAGTGCAGTCGGATCGAGCGATCTACACTACGAGTTAACAATACATCAAGGAATGGCAAGCGGTTGTTGGCTTCCTTCTCGCAAGTAAACTGCAATGCTGCGTGGTACTGATTAAAGCGTTCAATAGCAGCGTCGTGGTCAGTGGACTGATCGGCCACGATGAATATGTCATCCATATAGCGACGATAACACTCAAACGTGGTGATCTCCGCATGTACTTTGGTCTTCTCTAATTTTGCCATGAAGGTATCAGCAAGTAGCGAACCTAGTAGCGATCTCATGGCTACACCACCGACTGCACGTCTACAGGAAGCAAACCTGGAGTGGCCAGTATACGAAGTTCCATAGTTTCGTTCCTTTGAGTTACAACCGAAACCTAATTCGCTCTTGAACCACAGGGGCTCGCAGGATTTGTTCTGAAGACACGTTGGATACTGAGTTGGATTTCATTCAAAATGTGCTGCGCGAAAACGGGTATCCTCATCGATGCATTCTTAAGAACATGCAAGATAAACCCGACCCAGTGCAGGTGCTAACAGCTGAGAAGAAAGAACTATTTATAAGATTACCTTACAAAGGAGACGCAGCCGCCGAACGTGTTGCCAGAAGCATTTCTACAGCCGTTAAGTCAACTTTTCTAGCTGCTAAGCTGAAGTGCACTTTCTCAACGGAA